ATGCATAAGAAGTGTGGTGAACTCCACTTTTGCACAGGAAGAGGGAAGGAAGAAAAACATATTTATCTTACTCGTGGCTAAACGATAGTGCAAACCAGTAATTATGTGTAAATTATGACCTTGCCCCCTTGCAGTCAGCTCCTCAGTAAACATGACCACATTTGACTTCCATCCCCTCAGCAGTCCAAAGCGTGATACATGCATCATTGTTTTCAGAGCAAGTTAAATGCTTCTCTTGAGATATTTTTTTTTCAATGACAACCTATATTTTCAGAGATCAAGATCTTAAATGAAAAGCTGGTCTTTCCCAGGTCTGGGGGATTGTCACTGAATTATAAAACTTTGACAGTGTAATATTAGCTTTTATAAATTTTGATCTTTCCTTTCACACTTTTCTATAGCTAAAAGGCATTAAATATAAGTTTAAAATTATTTTTATTTTTAAATATGTACGTTTTTAATTTTCATTCAATATTCTGTAATATTCTCAAACCTGGACAAATGTTGAACAATTGCAGAAAATGAAGTGATAAAATAAACCCCTAACTAGGATATCATCCTATATAATCTACATGGAAGTAACAGGAAAAAGAAAGAAAAACACAACAACAACAACAAAAAAAAACAAACAGAAGGAATGTGTAAGAAAAATAGGAAGGAAGCCCACAGAAATACATTATAAGAAACACAGATTTATTAAAAGAGAGCATAATAGAAAATCTCACTGAAGTGGAAGTGACTTAGAAAATTAATGGAATTTATTTCAACTTTTGAACAACTCTGATTTTTCTATTTATTTAAACAATACCAGGCGAATAAGAACTGAGCCTCTGTACTTGCATATTATCATGCTTTTTGGTGTAACAAAGTGTAGCTACACATAATTATCCTGTGCTATCAGTTGTTGAAGTGATATTCATTATTGCCTACCTTAAGCTGTCCTGTAAATTTGCTCTGCGCTGGTAAGCAGATATCAAGTTCTGCCCAGAGATAGAACAAAGCTGATGAGTAAAGGGAATCTTAATAACTAAGTTTGTGGATGCTTATATTAAACTTCAGAAGTGTTTTGAATAAAAGAAATTGTTGCTCCGTGAATAGTTGCACTGAATTTTGTCAGCATTTTCCTCTCTAATGACATTCTTGTGAAGTAGACAGACATTCACTTCCCTGACTTGGGCTAATGCAGAGCGTGTTTGGGTGCAGAATTGCCCCGAGCAAATCCCCTTGTGTTGGGAAGCCCACTGCAGGAAGCCTGAGGGCCTTGATATCAACGCTGCATGCCCCTGTGCAGTGCTGAGGTTTCTGGTGGCACCTCCCATGGTCGCTGGAGCAGCTCCTCAAGACCCACCACGTTAACTCTTCCCAGGCAGCTCTTCTGGGATCCCTCTGTGGGCTTGGTGCATGCTGTGGTGGGACGGGGACGTGCCTGAGGATGTACCACCGCGTTCCTGTGGAGCTGCTCCACATCCACGTACGTGAGTTTTGGTGTAACCCCCTGTCACACCAGGCAGCTTGAGTCAACAGCTCCACCACAGCTGTCAGAGGCTTTTGTGGCTAGATGGGATTTAAATAATTGGCAGGGCTCACAATGAAACCCGAGTTTAAGAGGAACCCTAGCTTTACTCCGTGCATGTGAAATGCTGCTCGCTGCTGTTTCTCCTCTGGGATCACAAATAGGTTTGCTCACATTACCCAACCAGGACTAGAGCAGACCTTTTTCCCACTAAGGCACACCTTTAAATACTTTGCAAATATCAGCAAACCGAGTTTCACAATGGGAGTTTCTACCGGCGGGCAGGTTGTATCATCAATTTTGGGATGAGGAAATGAGGCAGGACTGGCAGCTGGCTGCAGGCCACCTCACCGTGCCTGCGTGGCACAGGGTGAAGGTGCCACGACTGGCGGGGAATTGTGGCAGAACAGAGCTCCACCCCGGCTCGCGAGTCTGCTGGGGAGCAAGGTCTGTCTGGTGGGTGCCTGCAATCCTCTCCGTGGTGCCTTGCAGAGGCCTTCTGGGGCACCCTGTGGCTGCTCGGCAAAGTGCCTTGCCATCCCTCACATCCCTGCTCGTCACTCAGGAGCAGTGACGTAGGCTTTGTAGCGTGAGGAGGGTGTCTCGGAGGACAGGTTTCCAGCAGCTGGTCTGAGAGTGGAGAATCAGATACATCCTTTCCAATTCCTTTATTTCCTTTTTTTTTTTTTTTTTTTTTTTTTCCTCCATTTTTTCTTTTCTTTTTTATTAGGCTACATCAACAAAAAAGGGGTTATTTAAAGAGACCCAAACACTAAAAATATGCTGCTGTAGTTCGTGAAATAGGGAAGTCAGGAATTTGCTGTGACTCAGTGGCTGATTGTAAACTACAGCTTGGGCAGGGAGGGAGGCAGGGAGGGCCTGACTCAGCAGATGCCGGAGCCTTCAAAGGGATTAGAGCTGTTGCCAAGGCGTTCCACCCTTTTTTCCTCTTTAAATGTCTTAAGGATCGTAGTCTTGCATTGCATTATATGTAAAAAACATGTACACTATTGAATTGGCACATCCAGGATGGAGAGCACTTAAACATCAAGATTTTCCTGAAGGATTATGGCTTGATTATATCTACATGTGCACACTATTTCATCACGGTGTAAGCAGCAAAATCCTTTCCATACAATTAAAAACCCTCAAGCTTCATTAACACGTTAGCTGGAAACATTTCAAAATAGGCACTCTGAAATAAAACAACCTGAATCTTCACCCAAATTTATTTATTTATTTTTTTACAACACAAATGTGTCGCTTGGACGAAAACATCCCGTCCCCAGCATACCTCTGGAGCTGACGTAGTGCTGCTTCTCCTCTAGGAATTCACCCTTGTGAGACTTCACTGCAAGATGCTGTGCTTTCTAAGGGGCCAGTTCCCCATGCCTGTTGCCAGCCCATTTCATAACTTCTGCCTCCGTGCAATCTTTTCAACTGAAAAGATAAAAACGCAGGGAGTTGGTCTGTACTTAAAAAGTTTTGCTGGCATGGCTATGGTATAATTACAATAGCAAAATCCCTACTGTAAGTTCAGTCCTGCCATCAAAAGCCCTTTTTGTTGTTGTTCTAATGTAATCTGTACCACGAACTGGTTTAATTTGTACCAGCAAAACAACTTTTTTTGCTGGCCTAAGCTATTTCTCCATTCAGGGTGTTGGCTGTTGCAGGACGAATGCTTTACCTACATCAAGTGGAGATGTGCCTAGAAGATGAGCAGCCCTTTTCCCCTTGCCCTCTGAATATAAAAGGGATTTGGAAGTATGTGACAACTGTTGGGTCAAAGGAGAATTTAAATCCACCTTTCAGTCTGTCTCCTTTGCATAAACCCTTTGTTTTTTTGTCTCTGTCTTTACTCTGAAGACTTTCTGGCTTGCAGCCACTGGGTTGCCAGCACACCCCAGCACCGTTTCTGATATTTAAGGCATTTTTGGACTGATAAAATAAAGGAAACTATATATTTTACATTACTGTGAGTTAAAACCTCAGGTTCTCATCTCTGGGTAGAAACACTGTTCCACAGCTACCTTTTTTTTTTTTTTTTTTTTTTTTTTTTTTTTTTTTTACATGCAGACTATTATATATTTTTTTAATCCAGCTGTGATTTTCTGTATAATGAATTTCACTTGCTGCTCCACTGTGGCCTGGTGACCCCTAATGCTCAAAACCAGGCTTTTGCACTCACCCAATGAAAACAAGCAGATCACCCCCAGGAGCTTATTGCAGGTGGTACAATGCAAACATCAGGTTGCAGTTATTAAGTTCAAGGCCCTTTTGCCTGCTCTGCACCCCGACGCAGCAGGCACATATGTGTACCAGCACATCTTCCTAACACCTGATGCTGTTGGTGCTACTCCAAGGATGGGAGCTGGGGAGTGGGTGATCTATTGGGCAGCAATGGAGTCATTGACAACCTCTCTGAAAGCTGTCATTTAGCCCATGAGGATAAGGACTGACATACAGAATACACAATGTTTTAATAAGTTCATTTGGAATATTGGTTTTTATATGCATTTACTCAGTTTTTCTGTTTAATGTCATTTCAATATTCTGTGGAATTGATACCAGGTATAATAAAATACAACAAAGAAGGGAGAATTATATTATCTATATATATTTAGCCTGAGAAACAAATGCTTCAACCTGTTTTAGAGAACCTCCTAACACTTCCACAGTAGATCACCAGAGCCATTTTCACAGTATCTTCTGCCAAAAAAAGAAGCAGGGACAATCTGGAAGGAACAGGTGTATTGGCTCCTTTTGCTGCTTGAAGAGGTAAACACCTAATTTGCTGCTATTGCAAAGGAGGTAAACATTTAGTGCACAGAAAGTATCCTTCCCTCTGAGAAAGACCCACTGATGTCAACCTAAATAAATTCCGGCAGTCAATCTGTTTTCTGTCTCTCTCTCTCTCTCTTTGTAAAAGAAAAGAGGAAAAGGAAAAAAAAAAAAAAAAAAGCTTAATATCCCCCCTAGGGAAATGGCTCCGATTTTGTATTGCAATTGCTTGTATAAAAGCAAAAAAGGCTATAAGAAGATAGTGTACCTGGGTTTCCTGAACTTAGGCAGGAGCAGGGCAAATTTGGGCTTTATGTCTAGTATTCCTATCTTAGCATGCACAGGTTTATCCATGAAAACAAGGTGGGTTTGGTAGCACTCTCAGTTTGTAAGCATATTGGTCATCTTACTCCACCAGCTTGCTTTGGCTGGAAGGAAGCTAACTGAACCATAACCATTTGAGTTAACCATTTCTATGCTGGTAGTATGCTTCTGGCTTGTCATTGTCAGTGCCTTCCAGGATACAAAGTTCAGTCCAAATCGTTCTCAAGATAAAAACAGTATTTTTTTGCTGCTGTATGTGAGGAGGCATCTTGTTAAGACTTATCTCTGCAAAAATCTTCCCAGTTGTGGCCAAATTATAACATTTTGAAAATAAAACAGACTTGGTGGAGATTTAAGCAAAGCTAGTGGGTAAATAATCACATTCAGGTGGGCCTGGTGGAGCACCTGAGCTGTGCCTGGAGAGCCTAACCCACCTGCTCTGTGGGGCTTCACATTGACTTCAGGCTCTCTGCATGGGGTGGCTGCTGGGGAAATCTGGAGAGGAGATGGGTTGGATTGGAGATGGCAGACCTAGACAGGAAGAAGAACAACAAAGGGTTCTTATTATTAGTAAATGACTCTTTTGTTTTATTTATTTAGTGAAACAAACCTGAGTGCCCCTCTCCTGGTAAGTCCTTGTTTTTCTTAGATTGCTCATTCTCTAAGAAAGCTTTCTTCATCCTTATACAGTGATTTCTTATGGTGGTTAAGGGTTAATCAGCTTCATGACTGTAAATATAATCTCTTTTTTTTTAAATTATTTTTTTATTTTTTTCTAGATTATGAGATGATTTCCTTAAACTGAAATAGGGCCAAAGCTCCTAAATCCTGGCTGAAGGGTTGTAACATTAGCAGCAGCTCTTGAAATCACAGCTCTCATTAAGCATGACCTGCAGCAGTGGTTGTTTTTGATCTGATATCTAGCTCTTGTCTTTTCTCTATAGTGTTTTTCTAATTCTTTAGAGAGTGTCTGCAGCAGCTGAGTCTTCCTGAGGTTTGCATTCAATTTGCAAAGTGCACGTCTGAAGCTGAAAAATAAGCTCCATGTTTTTGTGGTGCAGCGAGGTTTGCCAGGCCCCTTCAGAAACGACAGAACTGTGTTGTGGTTTGTTTCAGTTGACATGGGCTGCAGCCGACATGTGAACCTTTCGGTGCCCTCCCTGAGTGCACGGCCCCCTCCCCTAGATGAATGTATCAGTGCAAATTTATTTTAAAAACACCTGCAGAGAAGCGGGGAACTCTGGTTTCTCGTTTTGGCTACGTGGTTTTAAGAGAACCGTGCCAACACCATCCTTCGGGACATCTGTGAACAACTGTTTTCCACCCACTGTTGTAGCCACTCAGTTTTAGAGCTCTCTTCCCTTTCTTGAGCTCTTAAAAGATCTTTTATAACATGTCCACTGGACACTTTTCACAAGCTTGTTGCTTTAGTCAGCCAGTACATGGGAATTTTTTTTGATAGTCCAGAGGTCCAAGGAATTGCTGTACCCTTCTCACGTGTGTTGGGGAAGGCATGCTACAGATGGTAGCAATACTGCTGTGCTCAGTCTCGGCACAAGTTTGTGTTATTTTTTTGTTTTTCTCTCTGATGGATAATATTTCTTTTAAAAGGAATTGACTTTTTTAAGCTTTAGTCCAGCACCTCTTCCCAAAGCTGCTCACAAGCTCTGTTATGCTTCTCTCTGTTACCGAATCATGCACCACTTTATACCATCCAAAGGTCTTGCATTTTTCAAGCAAAATATGTTTGCCAAGTGAGAGTTTGCAGAGCCAGGGTCTCCCTGTGGGAGTGTTGAACATGTACAAATGTCACTAGGTTTTCCAAACAGCACCTGCCAGAACCCTGCTGGTGCACCACTACATCAGAGTAGGATCTGGCATCAGACCTCTCTCCAGAATGTTTTCCTTTAGAGGGGGTGGATTTTATTTTTATTTTTTATTTATTTTTAAAATATATGTACTTAGTTCTAAGCAGTTCTTTTGTGTCTCTTGCAGTGACCCCATCTGAATGACTATTTTTTTCCTCTTGCCTTCATCTATTTAATGCCTCCTCCTGCTTTGGCCTGGAAGAAGGAGAATTTCCCAGAGCAGTGAATTGCTGACTGAATGCTCTCTTCCACTTCTGTCAAGATTTGAAGTCCTCATCCTGGGAAGATGTTTTCAAACTCCTCCTCATCTGTCTTTACTGAACTTGTGTTCTCTCTCATTTTTATCCCATTGATTTTTCTTTTTCCTTTGGTAGTATCTTTCAAAATTTGTTGTTTATGCATACCCTTATCTGCATAGTGAGAGGAATGGTTATTTCACCTCTTTATTTCACAGTATTCTTCCCAAACCCATGTAATTTCTCTGAAATGATTTTACTTTTTTTTTTTTTTTTCCTCATTTTGCTAAAATATTAAGTAGCATAGAGCTATGACCTAGCCCTAGAGGATATTTTCTAGAAATATTGCTGCCTCTTTGTTTCCGCTTATCTTTTAAAACCTATTGAAGAACTAACTTTCTTACTTAAAATGTGTGAAGCTGGGTTTGGTTTCACTCCCATTTCTTATGTGACTCAAAGTTGAAAGTTGTAGAAAAATTCAGGATCGTTATTTCAGTGCTGCTGCCTTTATCAGCTAAACTAATCTATTTCAATAAATAATCAGTATTGTTTGATATGATCTGCTTTTGGTAAACCTGTTGTTTGCTGTCACTTTTATTACTCATCTTAAACTCTGTATTATTCAGATATTTCATCTGCTCTTCTGCTGTCCTCCTGGCATCTCTGTCAGAGCAGCAGGCTGGGCCATTTACGCTTCCAGTCATTGGGATAGCACCTCTCCTCTGCCAGGGAACAGGAGCTTAACTACTGCTTTACTGAAAAAAACAACATTAAAGGTACAATGGCCTTCAACAACTCTTAACACATTGAGACTACAAGTTACCTAGACTTGTTCATTTCCATATGTTTAACCTTATGTACCTAGATCTAACTTCTTCTTGAGTATTTCTTCTGTTGCTGGTGACCTATCTCCACTTCTAAACTGTTAGCTGATACTTATTCACTAGTCTCAGCTTACAGTTTTTTAGTTTATTGTCCGTGTTCTTATGGTAGTTTTTATCTCCTTTTTTAAACAGATTGTCATCTCAATCCCACTTTTTTGTTTGTTTGTTTAATATGCTAGTATACAGTGTTTATAGTGTAGTTCACTATTTATACATAAAAACATTGTTTATTGTGGTCTTTTTCAGCAGAAATTTTCTTAAGCTCTTTCTAGCTATTATTGATATTTTTATTTCTAAATTTACTCTTCCAGGTTGATTTTGTGCATAACCATTCTTAGCTTCATGAACTTGGATCTTCCACAGTGCCAAGCATATAATTCTGTTTGCACATAATTACATCTGCTAAATGACCTAAGCAACAGCTAATTTCTATTCCGTGATCAGTTTTTCTGTGGCAGACTGAAGTGTAATGCAGACTTCTTTTTGTGCTGATACAATACATTTAGAATATGGAAACCCATGCTCAGACCACTGGTGCTGAGGCCATTGGAGAATTCCTCCCCTCCAGGTCTCATAGTGATGTGATTAATTTTAATCCAAATATTTTTATCTTGTGCTGAAAATATACTTCTATTCCTCCTTTTTCAATTTCCCCATTTTCATTAACATCATGTTCCTTGGTCTAGTCAGCAAGTAACCTGAGAAGCTGATTTCATCTCTACTAAGATGGGGTAGCCTGAACTCTGCCAGTCCTTCTCTCTATTCAGTGAAAGCCAAATTTCCACAAATCCAATTTCATTAAATATTTGCTATGTACTGACTTTGTCAACAAAAAATCACAAATTATCCTGTAAGTGATAGCCAGCATCCTCACACACCTTTAATTCAGCTTCAGAGTTGGTTAACTTTGTATAATTTTAAAGCAGCAGCTTTTTTTTTTTTTAAAAAAAAAAGTGATTATAGAACTAGCAGTTGTGTGAAACACACACAAAAAAACTTAATTAAGATGACACAGGCAACATCTGTTCTAGTACATTACAGTTTTTGAATGCTAAGTACACAATGTGGTTACCTTGTTTTGTGTACATAACACATGTATAAACGCTTTCCAAACACTTTCATTTTATACATCCCTATAAATTTTCATACTGAAGTATGGATCCTTTTAGCTGGAATTTTTCCAGATACCCTTGTAGATTCCTTAGGAAAAAAAAAATAGAAATCCATACCTAACAGAGGTATGCAATGTACCAGTCAGAAAGCACTGACATAAAGCAGAGACCCGTTTGGTTATGGTGATAAAGCATTTTCTGAAAAAGAGATATAACATTCTTCCTAAAACATCTGGGTCTCCCTAGTCTTGCACCTGAACTCACAAACAAGTACACTTTATCTCTTTTGCAAGCTGAGTTGCAGCTAGAAATATGGTCTCTGCTGCAGCTTGATTTGGTTGATAAGTTCCCTTTCTCTGAAAGGGACTGGGAATAAGTGAGACAGTGGTGAGTAGTCCCCCCCGCTACCCTCCCCTCTGTTTGGGAAGGGTCCCATCATCGTGAAGCCAGAGATGAATGCATTGATTACTGCAAATCCTCGTTGGGGGGAAGGGGAGAGGGAAAAGCGAGCGTATCGATCGGCTGGGGTTAGTTGCGAGTGGAGGGAAGGAGAGGGAGGTGGTGAAGGAAGGGCAGCGGAGGAGATGTGGAGCAGGCACGTGGTCTGCTGCCACGGGAGCCAACTGCTTGAATTTCTGCCATCGCCCATTAGCAGAGGCAGCAGCAAAAGTGATTAATGTCTCCTTGGCAGATGAATAATTCTTGTGTTGCTTCCAACAGAGGCTGCCAAAGTTGGACAGAAACCTGCTAAAGGTGCTCAAATCCTCCAAGTGGGGAGGCTGGATGAGTAGGCAGAAGTTTACTTCCAAAAAAAGCAGCCTTTAAGGAGCACTTGCAGGATGTGCAGCGTCCAGAGCCGATGGATGGCTGTGGGAAGAGGAGCAGGGTAATAAAGTGTGCTTTAAAGGAAAGCCAGGAACTCCTGAATTTTAATTTGAGGTCTAACACTGACTCTTGCCCAGATCTGGGCAAGGTGAAATCTGCTCTCGCTGAAACCACAGGGAGGTTTTGCCTTCATTTCAGCAGGGTCAGAATGTCACACTCTTCATGAAGAGGGAATAATGCTGACTGATGTGGGGAGAGTAGTCTGGGAATAAATGAGTTACCTTTCACAGTGATTCAGCTGTAACTTGTTTTTACTGCAATGAACCACATCCTACAACCCCTTGCATATAAGCTTAATATTAAGCTTTGATTTTAAAACACAGAAGAAACCTCACCAGCTGGTACCAACACTAGTCCAGAGGCTCAGCACAACCATGGGTTGCAGCGTCTTGTGGCCCCATTACATTTCAGTGCCCCTCCCATAGCTGCTGAGCCATGAGCTTGCCAGAAATGCCTTCAGTCCCTCATAATCAAAAAGTAAATATTTAATGTGTGCTACCCTGCACTTAGCATGGATGGAGATGCATTTGTGGCACCTGCTTTCACGTTAGAAGAAGTCTCAAGTTTAAGTTTAATCCCATAGCAGAGCTGAGGGGGAATGTGAAGGCTGAGGAAGGGGTGAGGGAACAGTTAATTCTTCGTCTGAGGCTGGCTGGGATCCTGGGTTATTCTGCAGTTAGGGCAAGGCTCCATGCCTGGTGGTGAGGGAGCTGCTGATCACAGCCAAGGCTAAAAGGGACCAGAACTGCCTTGTCACGGGGTCATGGACTTCTGTCATGATTCCCGTTCATTCATGTTACTGGAAAACGAAACAATTCCTCTTAAATTCAGGAAGGAATGCTAGTTTCAAACTTACGTATGTGAAAGACTTCGTTTCCTTATATTAGAAGGTGTCAGGTTAGCTTTTTTTTTTTTTTTTTTCCACACAGGCAGGTTGCTCCAGGAAAGAGCGGGGGGTTAATTAGGTGAGTAAGATGTCTCATAATATGTGAGAATTAAGAGGTTTCTGTTTGCATGGGACTATGAAAACTTTTTTTTTGTGGGTTTTGTTTTACATGGCTTTGTACCCTTTTAGTTTCACTTTAGTTTTTTGTGTTAGACTATGCCCCAGAGTGAGAACCACACAGTTTGACTTGGCTTACAACAGAAACGGCGTGAAACAGCAAAGCCTTGCAGCGAGAAGTCGTAAAAGTCCCCATGCTCATCAGGGAGCTGGCTGCCTGTTGGGAAGCGTCAGGCTACTCAACTCCATGCACCACAGAGCAATGGAGCTCTGTGCTAGACACAGCTTAATGCTGAACTGCAACTACAAAGGTTTGGATTGGTTAAATTTCACAAACACTAAATAAAATTTTGGAAAATCACAAAGCTGATTGTCATTGAAGGATGCAACTATGAAACATTTCAGTATCCTGGAAAGGACCATCCATTTTTGAAATGACCATTTATTTAATTTTCATGCAGCTTATGCTAGGGTTTGTGCTAAATACAATCCTAAATAATCAAGAAAGTAAAGGTGACAAGTTTTCCAGATCACACACAGTTGTTTAGGACAGAGGTAACTAGAAGTTAAATAAAATAGCCTTAATTATAAGTGAATAATGAGGAGCTCTATTTTAGTTATTACTGTTCAGACAAAATTTCTTGGAGACAATGGAGATAATTTTCAGAGAAATCTTCCAATAGTGATCAGAAAGATTATAAAGGTAAGTAGCACTTTACAAATAATTGGGGAAAGGATAGAGGAATATAATAATACAACTCTATAAATTTGTGTGTCCCCCCCCCCCCCCCCATGTAATGGAAGTAGTTCCAGTTGGTCCTGTTCAAGAAATGATACAGCAGAATTGGCAACAGGTAAAAAGATAAGAGCTATAAGACAACCACAGTAGATTAGTACTCTTTGGTTTGGAAGAGATAAATTATCATGATAGGAATATTGCAAATGTTTATAAGATTTTAGAGGTATAAGAAAGAAAATTATGCAGATTGTATGCTATTTTCTTAGTCCAACAGATTCAGAGGCACCTGGAGAAATTATTAAATAAGAGTGAAATGTATATAAACACAAGGAAATTCTCTTTCACGCACTGTATAATTATGTGGAATTCATTGTTACCGAGTGATGTGAAGATAAAGAATATAAATGGTCTCAAAGGTATTAAATAGAAAAGGGAAGCTTCGTCTCTCTGTAGCAAACAAGCTTTGCCCATCAGTGAGGTGTACAAGTCTCACATGGATGGAGCAGGGCCCTCCATGCATTACCCCCATGAGCATCGACTGCAGCTGCCACAGTCAGGGGGCTGACTGGTACAGCAGAGCTCACCTTCCACTGTGGGACCTTCCAGTTTTGTATTTCTATGTCCAATTTTTCAGTTTGGAATTGCAGATTTTGCTTAATGGTTTAACAAAAGCTGATGGGGATGAGTTGGAGTTTCTGGTGGGACTGACCATTCTAATTTTGTGTCATTCTTACAATTGTCACATGAATCAGATTTATTTGCATTGAGGGAGTCAGGCTGTATTAAAAAGGAATTTGTGACTTCTTAGGGAGGAAGCTTGACTTTAGAATATTTTCTCTCTGAAGCCAGGCAACATTACATAAAGTTTCTGACCCTATATGATATTATTGCTTACGTGATTACGAACTGCAGACGGTGATGATGCAGTATG